TGAGTGCGGAGGATTTTCATGAAAGCCGCTCAAAAGAGCACACCGTACCACATTTAATTAAGTAAAAAAATTGTAACAGTGAAGGCGTGATAGGAGTATATAAGAAATGTGAATAGGGCTGGGTAGAAGGGGAAATACCATAACTGTTTAACACAAGTTTGGTCAAAGAATTGGCTTCACTTGTCTCTTTGACGAGTTGTAATATGGCGCTACGAATGGCAAAACTCACTGACGATGCCGGCGAAACGTCTGGGAATGTACCACATCCACAGTCCGACTTTGGAAAGGATTATGCATACAATGGACTTTGGACAAGGTGCGTTCCTCTAAGCCTTCCTACCTATATGACCGAGCTGCGAAAACAAAGTCAAACAACTTCTACACAACAAAGAAAGACTGCGACAACACTAAAGGCCACATAATCTTTGTCTTCATACTTTCGATTAATTATAAAACCTGTGATTTGAAATTTTATTCACCAATTTTTACTTACTTTTCTTATCGGATTTCCTTTTCTTTTTACCTCAAGGCATCTCATTCCGCTGCAACACATTGCTCCTTCAGATAACAAACCCTCTACTCCTGAGACATTGGTTTGCATGATTTCAACCACTATCCTATGTCAGCCTGATTCTTCTCCAAAGTCTCAGAAGTTTGGCAGTTATAACTCCGGCAAATTAGGGCTTTCATCTGCTAATGCCAATACTGATTTCAATTTTCCTTCAGGTTCCTTGTTTGCTGATGCACACGTCTTACTTCTTTCAGCTGATCATTTTCTTGACCTAGCCTCCAACTTGACGCCGGGAACTGTAAAAAATAAGTTAGATAGGACTTCACCAGCCTGCCGGTTATCATATAGCAGCCCTAGAAAGGATATTGTTGGGTAGGCTTATGCCAAATATCAGCTTTCCATAGCTTTTCCATCATTCTATTAAAAATCTTTTAACCCGATTTACTCATTATATTCGTTAAAATTGGATGCATTACGATTTTTTAGGACTCATCTTCGGTTCCCACCTAAGTTATTCGAATACCCATCTTCGCCCGTAAACTGTCTTAAAACTATTTTGCGAGTTTTTTCCACGATGCTAGGCTTGGTACTGTCCCAACTTATTTAAATTTATGCAGAAAATAAATTAGGACCAATTCAATATGAATATATGATTAAGGATACTGAAAATCGAGATACTCTAAAGAGAAATAGGTCAGGATATGGTTTGTACCTGGTTTCTACCTCAATATTCATGGATTTGATTTTGTATCCGCAACTTGTTCGTGTTGCCAAACGATTTAGATGAACACATATCGTTTGCACTCCTCTGCCATAGTAATCATGTTAATTTCGACATTCGGACTGGGGATTTAGTATGTTCCTACTTATATATAAGGAGTGGAGGCTGCCAGCGAGATTGAGGCTACGCCATATTGGCTTTC